TGCTAGAAGTATTCACACCATGTCTATGCAGTCCTTTAAGTGAGACTGACACCACTGGAAGGTACTGGTGAGGTCCACCATTCAACTCTCCCATTTTGTGGCAGGGAGAAATTCACAAACAAAACCCAGCTCACATGAACGGTCATTGCAGTTTTCTGAGCATGACTCCTGCAGCCTCTTTACCGAAAGCGCTCAGTGCTTTTAACAGTTGCACAAGAGAAAGGAATTCAAGAGCGCAATCTTTGCTGGCACAGAGAAGCAGCAATGAGGAAAGCTTCACCTATTGAATTTCTGCCTGCAAACCATCTCCAGCAGCTTCTCAGGCCGCAGCAAGGCAATTCAGTCACGCACCAGCAAATCACGTTACGGCACTCAGCTCCCAGCATGACGATGGTACCAGGAGCCAGGCACAGACTCAGAGCTGGACTAATGGATTCTTGCACATCTAATGTGATTTCCGGGCCGCATTTCTCCTTCACTGCTCCCACCCTCAGCTCCACCCTTTGCACAAGCGGAAAACCAATACTGTATCTTAAGTTCAGCAAAGGAGGAAATAAATGGTTCAGCCTGCTGGGCACTGCAGCTCCTATTTCATGCAGACCCCCATCAAGAGCCCGGTCTACCTTCCCCAAGCAATGCCTCTGTACTCATCCATATAGTGCCCTCTACTGGAAGACTCTGGTCTTGCCCTTTAGTCCTAATCCTTCCCCAACACAGCCATCCTCTTTCCAAATCTTGCAATTTTCACCATATTATCTTCCCAAGAGGCAGAATTCTTAAAAGTTGCTTTGAATTTGACATGGAAAAAACATCCCCTTTGCTATGGGAATCCCCCCTCCAGCTTTTAATTTAGATTTACTTGACAACAAGTCACGAGACGCTATTTGAGCAACTCTAGCCTCTGAGAGCTGGACCATAAAGAAGGCTGATCGCCGAAGAATTGATGCTTTTGAATTATGGTGCTGGAGGAGACTCTTGAGAGTCCCATGGACTGCAAGAAGATCAAACCTATCCATTCTGAAGGAAATCAGCCCTGAGTGCTCACTGGAAGGACAGATCGTGAAGCTGAGACTCCAATACTTTGGCCACCTCATGAGAAGAGAAGACACCCTGGAAAAGACCCTGATGTTGGGAAAGATGGAGGGCACAAGGAGAAGGGGACGACAGAGGACGAGATGGTTGGATAGTGTTCTCGAAGCTACCAGCATGAGTTTGACCAAACTGCGGGAGACAGTGGAAGACAGGAGTGCCTGGCATGCTCGGTCCATGGGGTCATGAAGAGTCAGACACGACTAAACAACAACAACAACAGCCTCTGAATAGGCATAGAAACACTGACAATACTGGCTTGACAAAGTCAGATACGCACACACAAATAACTTGGCAGCCCACAAAAAGGGGGCCTGTGAATGTAGCAGGAAGTTCAAAATATATTTGAAGACTGTGGTTCAAAGTCACAGTCCAGTCCACCTTACCCACAACCATGATTAACTACTGACTTTTTAAAAATTGCACCCGGTTCCTCTCATTATAAAGTTCAGAGCAGTTTACAAGATGAAGCTCTCACCCAGGCACGGGCAGGTCCCATCTCAAAGCACAGTCATTACTGGAAAGCGGTGGCAGGCAGGCATTTTTGGAAACCGTGCCAGAAATCAAAGCCACATAATCTTTGGCGTAGTTTTGATGCTAGTCCAGTCCTGTGCAACTTGCGACCCACCAAGCTGAACGTCTACCAGAGACTCACGGCATTTCCTGTTTTGGTTGCCTTCCTGAGTCTGCAAAAGCAAAGCTGGTTGTTGAGCACCTGAATTCAGAATCAAAGCATTTGAGTTGGAAAGGGGGATTAGATCAACCCTCTGAGCAGATCAGGAATCTTGGAACTATAGCAGCCCTGAAAGATGGCCATCCAGCCTCTCCTTAAATTTCTGAGTGTGCCACAGTACAATGCCAGGTGAGCTAAGTTTGCCTTGGTTGGTCGCAAGCAGAACAGGCCTACTCTAGTCAACACAGCATTGGGGCAGGATGGCAGGGGAGGTGGACAGACAGCAGGCCTCTGTGCCACATATTATCTGTGCTGTGGAAGCTGTGACCCTCTCAGACATTGTTGGACTACAACTTTCCTCAGCCCCAACCACTATGGCTAATTGTCAGGAATGATGGGAGACTGGGTGGGGGGTCATGGGTTAGCTATTCCTGGTATATATCTTGACTTCCATAATTCACACAGGACCCACACGGTTGCTTTTTCTGTACCTTTGTAATGTTACAATAGTGAGCTGGCCAGGCTCCAGGATTCTGGGGAGCCTGTGTCCCTTCCCCCAGCCCAGCTCAGGGTGGATCCTCTTCATCATGACCAGAGGTGGCAGAAAAGCCAGCCAAGAGCTCAGCAGTTGCTGTTGTCCACTCCAAAAACTGAGCAGTGCTTTTCTTTGAAGGGTCTGTCCAGCTTCCTCAGTGGCCTCCTGTTGGTCTTGGGGCCCTGGCAAATGTCCTCCCTTGCTGCCTTCTGGAGCCAGCCACAGACTTGCCAGTTGGCATGCCTAGTGCCAGTCTGCTTGACTGTTGTCTTTAAATGGAATTCTGTACTCTTAGCGAGTCAAGTATGTAAAGCTGAGGCTATTTTCTCCCAAATGTACTTTGTTGCACTTATCAACACTGCATTTCATTACCCAACTCTCCCACTGCTATAAGATCCCTGTGGAACTCCTTACAATCTGCTTTAGATTTAACTACCTTGAATAATTTATCATCTGCAAATTTTGCTGCTTCCCCGTTCAATCCCTTTTCCAACTCATTAATGAATATGTTAAAAAGCACCGGCCCCATTATAGATCCTTGAGGCTCCCTGCGGTTTCTCTCTTTCCACTGTGCAAATTGACCATTTATGCCTACCTGCTATTTCCTATCACTCAGCCACTTGCTAATCTACAAAAGGATGTCTCTGCTTATGCCACGACTACTTAACCTTTTGCAGGAGCCTTTGATTGGGGACTTTACAACCTGTGTTATAAAAAGGTCTAATTACACAAATCTTTACTCCGTTTACTTACTGACATTCTCTCTCTCTCGATTTTTTTGCGGAGTTGGGAGGTAGGCTAGCATTTCTCTTGCATGTCTGATTCTGTTCCTGAAATAGTATCTGCTGCATGTATATATAAAAGCAACCAACTTTCCATCTCTTTCTAGCATTACCAAGAAACAGAAGCCAGGGTGGTTCCACTGGATAGAACAAGCTGCCTGACATGCAGGACACATCTCAGAGAACGGGGGGCCTGGACCCGTCCCTCAGCCCAGTCAAGGATGCTGTTTTTGAACAACACCTGCACTTTGAATCTTGGCAGTATGCAACGCATTTTACAATCCTCCTCTTCCTCCTCTTCTTCTTCATCCTCACAATCCACTCATCCTACTTTACAGAAAGCTGCAGGTCAAGAATAATTAATATATACATTTAAATATGATCTCTTTATTTCATTTTTTTAATGGGAGAAGTTGCAAGTAAAAAACAAGCAGATAAAATAGGCACACCAATGCAGCCAGCCCCCCCACCCGGACAGCAACAAAATGCTGAATTGCTAATGCCTTTATTAATATGAATTTTACCCAGGTCACAATCTGATGGGGCAGGAGAAATACAAATTAGAAAGGGATCTGCGGCCACAGAATATGTCCTTTGCAATGTTAAGATGGATGCAAGCACAGAGAGGCAATAGATCCTGTTTCAAATAACCCTCACCCCTACCCCACTACCTGCTGGAGTTGGGTCAGCTGTTTCCTCTGATGCTTTTACCAGCTCACTGTAGGGTCCTAATTCCTGAACTTGGCATGGGAGAGAGGCAGCAGACCTTAGCCAGTCTTTAGACCTTGGAAAGGAAACTTGCTGTGAGTTGCTTTGGAAACTGAACATCCTCCATAGCTGTTTACATTGATACATCCATGTTCCAACATGTTCTCAAAGTGCTTCACAAACAGCAAGAATGTAAACACATAACCCTCCTCTCTGGTGCTGAATTATATCAGGAGCAGGGTTTTCACCTCCCTGAGGTGCAGCTTAGTGCATCCCCCAACACCCAGGCCCCAAGTTGGAATCCTGCCATTAAGGCAAGGAAAACAGGTTAGCAGAACCTAATCAGATCAGGGCACTTTGTATCAATAGAGGAACATTTGACCCTCCAACTGTTGTTGGATTCCAGCTCCCATTACTCCTAGCCAGCAAGACCCAGGGTCAGAGGTGATGAGAGATCAAGTCCAGCATCACCCGGAGGGCTGCCAGTTCTTCACCTCTGCAAGAGACAACCCCTCTCCTTGCAACCTCAGCCCTTGCACATGGAAAGGTAAAGCCTGAGGGCAAATGAAGCGCAACAGCAGTGTGGGAGCTGGCATGTGCCAGAGTCCCCGTTGTATCTGATCTCCAGAGCCCCTTGCTCAATGCAGGTTCCTGTTCCAGCCCTTGTGGAAAGCTGTTCCCATTAACTTAAAAACTAACAGACTCAAGCACTTTCCTCAACATGCACTCACTCTAACAAGCTGCAGTTGATCCCTCAACCAATATCTACTCATTCGTCTTGGAGCTTTAAAATCAAAGCTTCAGTTTGCAGCAGAGGTTAAGCTATGCAGTAAGTTTGTCCTCCCGGCCCTCTGCCCCCACCACGCTGCTGCCCACTCAAATTGCTTCTAGGCGCCACCATCCAGTTTCTGGAAGAAACATGAGGCTATGTGCACATACTATGGGGCAGCTGCTTGGCAAACAGATTAGAGCATGTCTCCGTGGCAGATCCCCACAATCCCACTTTGGTGCCTTTGTGCACAAGCAGGAAAATGATACACACAGACACACACTGCCATACAGTGGTACCTCGGGTTAAGTACTTAATTCGTTCCGGAGGTCCATTCTTAACTTGAAACTGTTCTTAACCTGAAGCACCACTTTAGCTAATGGGGCCTCCTGCTGCTGCCACGCTGCCGGAGCACGATTTCTGTTCTCATCCTGAAGCAAAGTACTTAACCTGAAGCACTATTTCTGGGTTAGCGGAGTCTGTAACCTGAAGCGTATGTAACCTGAAGTGTATGTAACCCGAGGTACCACTGTACTAAGGGGAATCAGGAAGAATGCACTGCAGCTAGTGGAAATATGGGGTGCTGAACGAATGCATCCGAGGCCCAAATGGCATGCAGATGTACCCCTGGGTCCTTCAGTGGCCTAGGCCAGGGGTAGGGAACCCTCCAGGTCTCTCTAGCCACCCCCTTGGGACTCTTCCCACAGCACACCAGCCCTGCTCTGCCCTCTCCACCAGCACATTTGCCTGGTGGAATAGGTCCTTTGACTGCGATGTTGCCTCTTCCTTGCCTTGATAAAGGCAGGTGTGTGTATATGAAAACCTCTTACTGCGTGGCTGGAGTACAAAAGGCAAGGCTCTGTTGCCCCACCCACTTTGAGCTCCAGCACCCCACCCATTGCCATACGGCCTCCGTAAGAGTGTGCATGAGAGAATGCAGCCCTCAGGTTTAATAAAGGCTCCCCAGCGTATCCACACATCCTTTCCTTGCCACGTGCCTTTGGCTGGTAGCAAGGCAGCACTGCGGCCTCGGGATGAGGCGGCCTCCTGCTTCCAGGAAAGGTTCTGCGGCAGCTGAAGAAGGAGTAGGGAAGCCACCTGACATAGCAGCAGCAGCCCAAGAGGGAAGCTCACATCCCCCATCCTGCCGCTTCCATGAACAGACCTGGAGGGAAGTCTGTGATGACCCATGCTAGGTCCAAAGAGGCCATGGCTTGAGGGTGGGGGCAGCGTTGTCCGGGGCTTCCCTCTGTTCTGCCACCTGGGGGCAACTGGAGGTTCCCCTCCTGCCCTCCGCCTTCAGAGAATGATTTGATTCTTGAAGCTGCGGCTCAGTTCCTTGTGGGGCAGAACGATGGAGTTGAGGATGACAACTTCGGCAGGGATGGTCACGTTGCAGCCTGTCGAGGAGGGAGCAGCAAGAGGCATCAGCAAGTGGGTGGGTGAGAGGGGAAATGCAGCCAACACAAAAGAGAGAAGCGAAGAAGAGTATTCTTCTTCTTTTGAGTATTCTTCTTTCAGGTCCTGTATACCTGAAGGAGCGTCTCCACCCCCATCGTTCAGCCCGGACACTGAGGTCCAGCTCCAAGGGCCTTCTGGCGGTTCCCTCATTGTGAGAAGTGAGGTTACAGGGAACCAGACAGAGGGCCTTCTTGGTAGTGGCGCCCACCCTGTGGAACGCCCTCCCTTCAGATGTGAAGGAAATAAGCAGCTATCCTATCTTTAAAAGACATCTGAAGGCAGCCCTGTTTAGGGAAGTTTTTAATATTTAATGCTGTATTGTTTTTAACACTCGATTGGGAGCCACCCAGAGTGGCTGGGGAAACTCAGCCAGATGAGCGGGGTATAAATAATAAAATTTATTATTATTATTATTATTATTATTATTATTATTATTATTATTGCAGGGAGGTACAGGGGAAAGAAGAGAGTTTAAAGTGGGCAGACGCTTACCCAGAATGGTGATGGATGGGGTGAGGCGGCCATCCCGAAAGAGAGTCTCGCTGTCGATCTTTGCGTAGGGATCATTAGGGTTGGGGTCGCTGGGAGTACCCTCTACACGAGCCCAGCGTCCAATGGTGCTATCCCAGCCCACAATGCTGTTCAGCACACATGTATGGTCCTGGGAAAAGGGGATAGGAAAGAAAGAACTGAGGCACTAACATGGGGGGACGGACCACCAGCCCTTGGGTCAATCCTGGCCTGCCAAGGGTTCCCATTTGGGCCACAAGGCCATTGTCCCCCAAATCACACCCACCCGTCACATCAGATGAAGGAGAGCAGGAGCTTCTCCTTTAAGTGAGAGGACAAAGGAGCCTGTACAATTCTGGCTTTTTCTTCCTGTCCCCCACCATTTCCTACTTAAAGGAGAAGCCAACCGCTCTAATACAGTTCCTGCATTCCTCGTATGCTGCAGGTGGCATCACCCTGGGATTCAGCAATCTTGCCATGGATGCTACTAAGACTGGTGTTAATCCTTCAGACAGTCCAGGACGTAAATGGTGCTTATAAAACACTTAAAAGGAATGTGGAGATCACTGTGGGGAAATCTAAAGTGTAGCTTTTCCCAGACACTCATCAAACTTTCTTTTCCACTTTTAACAACCCCAACTACTGGCTCAATTGATTTTCTACAGGAACAAACAACTCCTCTATTTATTCAGGAACTTTGTAGAGCTGTTAAACAAGGACTACTGGAGGCATGTGTGGAGGAGCACTTTCAGCGTTTAAAAGCCGCACCATAAAAATATCAAAACTGCCCTCCGAAACACAGGGCCAAATTAGAAGCGGTGTTAAATGCATCTCTGCATTTAATGTGCACATTTTAAAAACATAGTTTATCGAGACAGAGGGAGAGTTTGACCTTCTCCACCCCCTGCTGTGGTCGTGATGGAAATGGCACCTCCCAAACTGCCCCACTTTCCCTCCCAGTGCAAAGAGCAGCTGTGGAAGAGTGGGTTTTTTCATCATGGCCACAGCAGGGGGGGAAAGAGCTGAACTCCACTTCCCTGCCTGCCACAATGCCAATAACCATTATGACACCCCCTTCCCATGGATATTTTCATTTTCTTTTTTTTTAAGCACATGATAAATGCAAACACACACTTAACTTCTCATCTACTCTGGCCCTTAACGAAGGAGTAAATCCGATTCAATTCAGCAGGACATATTTCATGCTTAGGATTGCACTGCACATTTAATGGGAAATGTATGGAAGAAGCTGCCTTGTACCACATCAGGCCACTGATCCAGCTATTGTCTGACTAGCAACCCCTCTTCAGAATTTCAGTCAGGACTTCTGCAGCCCTCAAGATGCTGGGTGCTTTTAGAGATGGGACATACCAAGAAAATAAAGGGGGAGGATATAGGGCATCAATAATTTCCCCTCCTAAATTCTTAATAGCCCCGCTAATTTTTTTTATAAATGATGCAGAACCACAGATTTTTACAAATCTTTTACATTTCTCATGAATCCACAGCTTCAGCTGCATTTGTATGTCTTCGTTGATAATACATAAATGATATTACCTCTGTAAGTGGGGACCAGGCCAGGCAGGGGAATACCAGACTTTGCAGTGCACTAGTGCCACCTGCAGGGCATTAGCAAAACAACGAGAAGAAAAGCAAGAGCTGTCCAAAGCCAAAAACAGCCTCCTGCCTCTGATCAGAGATGTGACTTCTGAGGCCCTCCAGGTGTTCTCCAATGACGATTCCCACCATCCCTGACCACTGACCATGCTGGCTGCGGCTGATGGGGTTCCCGAAAACATCTGGATGGCCACAGATTCCCCATCCCTGGATTAGAGCTACAAAGTGCCAACCCCAATCCGGCAGCAGTAGTACAACGATCCTACCATTGTGTAAAACGTGGGTGATGGTGGGCTGAGCCTACACGCAGTGCCAAAATAATTAAGTAAAAGTGCAGTTTGCAGAGGGGTGGGGAGCAAATAATGAAAACGTTCCTAAAATTGCTAGGCATCGCTGCAGGGACCTTGTTGCTGGCTGTCACTTTTAAGCAAGCATTTTAAACGGTTTCATGCAGACTCCTACATTTAGTGGCAGGGTGGTGGGTCTCTAAAATCGGGGAGGGAGGAATCAAATCAAAATGGCACAACTGGACAGTGGGGAGGAAGCCCTATCAAAGTGATGTCACAGACAACATCCAATGGGTGGGCTGCAACACTCATACTACCACAGTCATGGCTGCAACAGGCAGCACCAGCTGGAGCAGAAAGGAAGTCTATTTTTTTCCTGTGATGAAACACCACTGTTTGAATTCTGCTTTGTGGAAAAGGTGTCTCGATCCCAAGCAACAAATGAGCCATAAAACCACACACTTGTTATACTAAGAACAATAGTCTGAGTAGTCCCCTAAGGTGATGCAAGACATTAGAACTTGACCCATTGGATCTTGGGAGCAATACCTACCTGGAGAGAAGCCCCATGCAGAATAATGGACTCACGCACACGCACGCCAGCGCCAATCGTCACCCCCTTCCCGATGGACACATTGGGACCTAGCTACAGGGAAAAGGCACAGGGTGGTCAGTGGCCCAGCGCAGGCCAATAGCCCCCTTCATCTGTATGCTCTCTTAAGTCCAGGGTATGTTCAGGGGCCCAGAGATTAAACCAAAATGCACAGCTCCTTAAAATCTATCCCACACATGCTGGAGCCAGGCACAGAGTACACCTTGCCCATTACACTTACCACAGCGCTGGCATCCACCGAGGCTGCAGGATGGATATAAACATTCCCTGCATAGAAAAGAAGCAGCAACAGAGTTAGTTCTTCTCCTTACTCCACAATGGAGAAGATTCATTGCCACCCCTCTGAAAGCATCTGTCAGGGAACTGCCATCAGTGCCGGAGGGAGAGAGCAAAAGCCAGAGGGATTCCAGAGAGCGTCCAGGGATCGGGAGATGCAGCCCATCTTCTGGGGAAGAGAATCAGCGTAGCACCAGTGGAGAAGGGGGGCAGATGGGGGAAGTGGCGAGGCGGTCCCATGACTCCTTGCCTGGGACCAGTGGGGAGAGTAGGGGTCCTCCGTTGCCCACGCCCTCTTTGCGCAGAAGGCTTTCGCGCAGAGAGGGTAGGCGGAGACTAGGCGTCAAGGAGCTTCTTTGCTGGAAGAAGTTTAAGAAACGCCCACTCACAGATTCTGCCAGCGACTGAGTCAGCCACGGGTGAGTGGCTGTCCGGACAGAAAAGGTTCACTTTGACAACCCAGCCAGGTGCTTGCGCACGAGCAACCCCTTAGAAACCATTACAGCATCATTGCAGAGATTCTGCTTTTCTACAACAATGCGGGTTTCACAATGAATACCTCTGTGCACATCAGACTCAGTAAAGCAAATAACCCTAACACACACTGCAGCCTAGACTGGTAGAGACTCCTTTCAAAGACAGATAGCTGCCTTGCCATAGTAGCTTGGGACAAAATAAGAGAGACCATATAATATATATAATTTTCTGTTTAACAATTTAGAATACTCATTTAAACATCCTTAATATATCAGTGACTTCCCTTCTTCTCTTTCCAAGGTTCATTTGCATATAATAAATCCCTGCATATTTTACAAAAACTAAACCATTCAGTATTCCATTATTGCATCCATCAAAACTTATTTACACAGTTGAATTTATCTTAATGCTGCCAACGTTTTCAAGTGTACACAATTTCCCCCATATATTCAATGAACGTTTTCTAATTTTCTCTAAATGTATGTTCTTCTTGTTCTCTTATTCTATATGTTAAGTCTGCAAGCTGCGCAGCTTGAAAACTAAAGAAGACTCTCACCAAGCACAATTATGGGGAGAGAAGGAGTGCTCTTGCTAAAACTGATGGTTTTCTAATAATTCCAGTGTAAAGCACAAAGGAGCAAGATAGAAAAAATTACTGTGGAGATACAGATGTTTAATTTGTATTCAAGCCCCTTCCTTTGTACCCTTGCAATCTCCTCTTTTCTTACTAATTTTTACTGATTTGTCATAACATATAACTATACGAATAAAATAACCATACACATAGCACATTTAGTACAAAAACAACATAAAATTTGAGATGTGGTTCTACATAGCACAATTTTTTAGATGGGTCTATATAACCCAAAGGGGGGGTGAGTCATTGAAGGAGTACTTATATGTCTGTCTCTCTCTCTCTCTCTCTCTCTCTCTCTCTCTCTCTCTCTCTCTATGTATTGATGCAGGATTTGGAATTTTGGCTTTGTATTATTGCACTGATCTGCTGTTCTTTGTATTTGTCACAGCCTTCGATGTGCACGATGTGATGTTGTTTTATCAAGTATAATTCTGGCAGGCTCTGAAACCAGGTCTAAGAGCTCCAAGTCAGAAGATGATGGCTGAAGACGGTTGCATGAAGTACACAGAAAACAGGCAAATGTTTCCCAATTTAGTAAACCTTTTCAAAAGCAATGCAAAAAGGATAAACACTGAAAGGAGGCACATCACACACTTTGGAGCAGCCTTCCTGAACCCGGTGCCATCTAGAAGCTGTTGGACTACAACTTCCATCATTTCTGACCATTAGCCATGCTGGCTGTGGCTGATGGTAGCTGGAGTCTAGCGAAGTGCAGGCATGACCCAAGCCCCTTGGAAACTGTACCACTGATATGGCCTCCACCCAGCAAACCTGTTTTCAGATGCTACGGCCCCTTTATGTTGTGGAACAAAAGCAGAATTATCTCATCCTACCAACATCACGCATTTGTGGTTTTCGTCTCCCAAATGGGGAAAGAGGGAGCCAGTACCTCGGATGGTGGGTCCACCAGGTTGGTTCTGGGCAAGTCTTTCTGGGTGGCACTGGCTGTAGCAACTCAGATACAGGCGACTGGCATAGATTGCAGACCTGGCAAAGAGAACAAGCCAGAAATTACACCTGGCACCTGCCTCCAAATGTAGCATCAAATCCGTGAATGCTTTGTCCTCTTGAGGACAAAGGAAAATGACTGAGTGCCTCACCAAAAAGAAGAAAGCCTATGATGAAAAGAAGAAGAATCCTTTCTTCCTGGGATGGAGCACAGGACATTTTTATCCTGCCTCATTCAGCTGGCAGTATCTCCTGTAAACCCAATTCTGCACCTTCCCAGGGAGTTCAAATTTTCTTGCCTTTCTTTTGAAAAACTGGACTCTGGCCACCCATGTGACAAAAACACAAATTCTAAGCTCAAAAGCTAAATTGTGGGAAATTAGAATTGCACTTGTTCTGCTTCAGGGATCTACATATTTATTAGTTTGGATCCCTGCCCCCTGCCAATTTTGGGACCACACTTGAGAAAAGAGAAAGAGGGAGGAATATAGAGTCTGGATCCACACATATGAGAGCAAGGGTGGAGGACTTGTGCCCCCGCCCCAATGTTGTTTGATTCAAACTCCCATCAGCCTCAGCCAGCATGGCCAATGCTCAGGGATGATGGGAGCTGGAATCCAGCAACCTCTGGAAGGCCACAAATTCCTCATCCCTGGGCTCGTGACTACAGAACAACAGTCATGGAGGAAGAAAGAGAGGCTGTGATCAGGGTCCATGGTCAGCCCCCCCCTCCAACCCATCCATTTCCCAATATAAGAAATAACTCTCAGGAGTTTCTCTTTGGCTTTTGCATTGTCACCATATTGTTACGGTCCCCCGCCTCCAAAAAAAGCATGCAGGTATCTGCTTACGGTAAGAAAAGCTCAGATCCACAGAGAAAAATTTGATTCAGTGTTTGGCTATCTCACAGGCAGGCTTACAACCACTTCCCAGGTTTGTGCCTCCCTCTACTTCCCCTTACCCAGCAGATTTGATCTGGCTCCAGAACCCCTCCGTCTTATAGGCAAAGAGGCGTCCCTGCCCAGCAAGGGCTGTGAAGACATCCTGCTCCAGCCTGATGGCTTCAGCTCGTTGCCAGCCATTGGTGTTCTCCTCCCTGTGTGAACAAGGCATACAAAGGGTTAGGGGGCACATAACTCACTGGAAAGATGATGCATGGCCAGCAAGAAAAGGCATTTCTCTAGGTCAGGGAAAACAACCACTCAGGTACAGCAACAGCAGATCCTTCTGCTACTGAGGATGAGGAACCTGAAGCACTCTGGAGGTGGCTGGACTACAACTCCCATCATCCCTGGCCCTTGGCCATGCTGATTGGACCTGTTGGGAATTGGAGTCCATCCAACAACATCCCGAGGGCCACAGAGGTTTGCCCATCCCTGGGAAGCCAAAAAGCCAGTTCTAAGCCTAAGTGCCCAAGTCCCATGGAGCAGAGAAGCACAACAGCACTTGGGAGACGAGGAATGCAGGAGGAAGGAGGAGATGGACACTTACCCAAGGCATGCGCCCCTAAATGTGGGCAAGGGGTGGCACGAGGAGGAGATGGAAGAGACACAGAGAGAGGGAAGAGAAACAGAAAGAGAGAGAGATGATAAGTGACCAGATGTTGCTGCCAGGAAGCAGGAAGGAACAGCTAAGAAAGACACTCACAGAAGCAGCTCCTGCTGGTTCCGTTGGAAGACAGCGCCAATGTGATGGAAGATGGCCGGCGTGAACAAGTAGATGCCACAGTTGATGAGCTCGCTGACGAAAGTGCTGGGCTTCTCCACGTAGTGCAGGACCTGGAGAAGGAAGGGGACATGTAGGTGGGGCAGAGAAGGAAGAGTCTTGGGAATTGCACCATCCAGTGCTGGGGATTGCTCTGCTTGAGCCAGGCTCCAGAGAACAGCAGGCAGGAAGGTTGTGCTGGACGGGGTACAGGAATAGGGGAGACTGTGGACAGTTTTGGCTCTTCAACTCCCATCAGCCTCAGCCAGCATGGCCAACACTCAAGGCTGATGGGAGTTGTAGTTGGACAGACTCTGGAAGGCACAGGTTCCACAACCCAGGTGGAGCAGCTCTCTACCGGGGCATGCCTGCTGCCCAGTCTTCCCTCCAGTCCTCCACATACCTCATGCGTCTCAGTGTTCGCCACAATGCAGCCGTAGTTCAGAGACTGCTTTCTGTTGGCCTAGGAACAAAAAAGAAAAATGGTCACAGGAGCATTACCGGGGGTGAGAGGGATTAGAGAAGAATTTGCAGGAAGGGGTTGCCAGGAGCACTGGGACTGGGATCCTAGCAAGGCAACCATTTTGCCCCACAAAGGCCAGCTAGCCCTCGAACTGCATTCCCAAAGCTGGGGAGAGGGGACCTCTCCATCAGCGACCAAATTTCAGCTCCCACCAGCAAAATCAGTGCGGTCAGGGATGATAGGAGTGGTAGCCCAGCAAGTATCAAGAGAGCCAAAGGTCCCACAATCCTGTGCCAAGCAGCGCCCTCCTTCCAAGCCCACAGGGCTGTCAGCATGAGAGGCCAGGGCTGTGCCATTACCGTGGTGCCCAGCATGAGGAAGCTGTCCGGATTGCCAAGTCGCCGGTGGAAGCTGAGCATCTCGCCCAGAGGGAATTCGGAGCAGACGTCAGCGTTCAGCACAAAGAAGGCTTCAGGGTTACCCAAGAGGATCTGGTCCCGGAAGTGGTAGATGCCACCGCCTGTGCCAAGCGCAGCATATTCCTGCAGATACCTACACAAAACAGGAGGCTGCTAAGGCCCTTCACTGCAGGGGGAGGAATTGCTTGTGCCAAGGTCTACTAGGCCAAATGTGCCTGGCTGTTTCAACAGGTGCATAGGGACCCAGGGAGTTGGCTTAGGCAGAGTCAGGCCATTAGTCCATCGATCGTAATGCTACCTATACTGGCTGGCAGCAAGTGCCCAGGGTTTCAGACAAGAGTTTCTCCCAGCCCTATCTAGAGATGCCAGAGACTGAACCTGGGATCTTCTGCATGCAAAGCAGATGCTCTACCAGAGTTACACCCCCCTTTTCCAAAGGCTGTGCAGAATCAAGACCTGAATGGCAGATTGTAAAGATGGAGCTCCTTCCTCTCTCTTTAGCAGTGCTGACCAGCCCAAGGCATTTTGCTGTCTAAGACGGAGGACTGAATGGCTCTATCTCACTTCCTCTTCCTCAGTCCTGTTGCACAGTATCCAAGGATGAGCAAATTATTTTGGTACTTGAGGCAGAAAAAACCCACAAGCACCACCCCTCCTCAGCAAAAGCCTTCCCACCACTGCATTTATTATGAAAAAAATAATCAATGCATTTAAATACCCAAACAATCTGCTGCCCTTTCATGCAACCCAACATCAGCTGCCTGAAGTGGCCGCCTCATTATGCCCAGCAGTTGAGCCAGCACTGTGACCACCCACCTGATGGGTATTTTGAACTCTTGCTGGGCTGACACCAGGAATCGGCTGAGGGCCTCATTGGGCTGATAGAACCCAATCAGGAGAATCTCCTTCATGTTGGGCACCTGTAGAGAAGGGAAAGGAAGATGGAGCAACCACTGGTTGGCATATGAAGCCAAGAGCAGGAGAGCTAAAATATTCTTACTTGCTCAATTTATTGCATGTTAGAGCACAAGGCAACATGCTGGACTGAAAATAACCCTGTCAGTTTCACAATGCCACTATACAAATCTATTGGTGCAAGCACAGTTGGAATGCTGTGTACAGTTCTGGTCAGCTCACCTCAAAAGCAATATTTTAAAGTGAGAAAAGGTTCAGAAAAGGACGACCCAAATTACCAAGGGGGTGGAACAACTCCCCTATGAAGAACGGTTGCAGCGTTATGGACCTTTTTTTTTCTTTTAGAGGAAAGGCGAATAAGAGGTGAATTGAAATAAGTTTAGAAAATTTTGCACAGCATGGAGAGAGTGGACAGAGAAACATTTCGTAACATATCTTAACACTAAAACTTGTAGACGTCCAATGAAGCTGAATGTTGGAAGATTCAAGACAGACAAAAGTCCTTCATGCATCATAATAAAGATTATCGTATTGTAAAAGTTAAACATCGGCACTTGCTCCCACAGGAAGCAGTAATAGCCACCAACCTTAAGGCAGGATTAGTCAAATTCATGGAAAAGACATCAAGGACTCCCAGCCACAATGGCTGTGTTCTGCCTCTCCTGTCAAGAGACATTATGCCTCTGAATACCAGTTGCTGGGAACCACAGGTGGGCAGAGTGCTGTTGTGCTCATGTCCATCTTGCAGGCTTCTCACAGGCATCTGGTCAGCCACTGGGAGAAGAGGACAGAGGCCCAGATGGGCCACTGGCCTGATCCAGCGGGCTCCTCTGGTGTTTTTATGAACTCCTCCCCTCATGGTATCAGCTTAATTCCCCTTCCATACCTTAGTGCATGCCTCAATGTGGTGCTGTATCATAGGCACTCCTGCCACAGGGAACAAGGGCTTGGGCACCTCAAAGGACAACGGCCGGAAGCGGGTCCCTGCAAGAGAAAAGGTTATCACAGAACTGTAGGCTGTTGCTCACCAAATTCACAAATGAGACAGGAGACACGCAAATCGTGGGCTGACTTGAGAGGAATGGCTGCCACCAGAAGAGGAACAAGGGAAGCCAATGTCACTCTGAGGCTCCTGAAGAGCAGCAGACAAATCAAATCAAATCAAATCAAAACTTTATTAGCAAAGCCAACAGGCCACAGCTGTACAAGAGTTAAAAGTGAAAATAGGGATAAAAGGAAGAAAAGAACAGGCAAAAGGAGGTCCGTCGGGTGAACAGGTCTGTCACTCAGATGGAGGCCCTCAATTTCGCAGCTCTCTCGATGTACCTCGCGACCTTCTCTGTTATCTGACTATCCGTATCAGTTAATAGAAAATACAGTGTAATGTCTGGTGAACGGCCGGGGTTGGAGAGAATGAGTGGAGTAATAATCTCATTCCTTAGGTCTTTGTAAAGGGGGCAAGAAAGAAGGACGTGGGACACTGTTTCCGTGTTACCATCTCCACATGGGCAGAGTCGTTTTTCAAATGGAGTCTTTTGGTAACGACCTTCGAGTACAGCAGAGGGAAGAACATCCCATCTAGCCAATGTAAAGGCACGTCTGTATTTTGGGATGGTTAGTTTAGACAAATATGAAGCTGGAGAGTCAAAATGAGAAGGGGGAAAGTAGGTATACCATGGGCACAGTTTCTTTAAGATAGTCAGGTTATTTTGTCGTTCAATGTCTTTCAGGCGCTGGCCTATTAGACTCTTTGCTTTAATGAGGCCCATTGATAGTAGGGACTGTGAGTGCAGACCGCATGTAAGGAGTTTTTGATGCACAGTTTTAAACCACTTGCTTTTGTGAGGGTCTTGCATTACTAGCGGCAGTAGACCAGGTGGATTCAGATTAAGACGAAGCCAATAATTAAATGTTCTCTGCCAGGTCCGAGTTTCCACAGATGGAAGGCAGGCCTCGAGTCGTAATGCTGCGTTTGGAACACAGGAGGGGACACCGAGTATCTGCCTTAGAAATTTGGACTGGACAGTTTCAAGACTGGAGCAGTGGTTCCCCGTCCAGATTTGCGCCCCGTACAGTAACTGCGCCAGAGGTTTTGCTTGAAAAACTTCAAGGGCTGCTGGGATGTATCTGCCCCCCTTCGTGTAGAAGAAGCGGGACAGCATCTTGATGCTTTGAGCAGCTTTTTCTTTGGCACATTTTTGATGGACATCCCAGGACCCGGTCGACTGGAAAACGATACCCAGATATTTGAAGGCTTTGACTTGTTCAATTGTCTGGTTATCCATCCTCCAGCTGTACTGTCTGTGTTTCCTTGCAAAAACCATAATTTTGGTTTTCTGATAGTTTATTGCAAGTTGCTCTCTCCTACAGTATGCTGAGAATTCACCTATGAGCCTATTTAAGCCTATTCTTGTTCGAGATAGGAGTATCGCATCGTCAGCGTACAAAAGCACTGATATTGCTTTGTCAGCCAGTTTGGGGGCGTGGAAGTCCGGAGATGACAAACAGTTAACCATATCATTGATGTAGATGTTGATAAAACTGGGGCCAGGATGCAACCTTGCTTGACCCCCTTACTGACAGGAACTGGTCCTATAAGATGGCCATTTAACGAAGTTCTTACATGCAGCACCGTGTCTTTGTATAAACAGCTGATCAGAAATAATAGTCTTTTGTCTATGCTTGAGGTGCTCAATTTATCCCAGAGTCTTACACGTGGAATTGAATCGAAAGCAGCCTTTAGATCGATAAAGGCTGCATATAACACCCCACGGGATTTTTTGGCATATTTGTCAATTAAATAGGCTAGGGTGAAGCAATGGTCTATGGTGGATCTGCCTTGCCTGAAACCCGCTTGCTCTTCCGCTAGAATAGCTTCAGTTTCCAGCCAGCTAGTTAGCTTGGTATAAAGATGTTTGGCATATAGTTTGCTGGGTATAGGCAGAAGGCTGATTGGTCTATAACTCGCCGGATCTGTCATGGGTCCTTTTTTATAGATTGGTATAATTATTGCCTCAGTCCAACCATCTGGGAGTAAACCCGTTGAGTCGATCCAAGAAAATAAAGACGCCAGCAGGGGGGCCCACCAGCCAATGTTGGACTTCAGAAGTTCGGCAGGGATGTAATCATTCCCTGGGGCCTTGTTGTTCTTTAATTGTGCGATTAAATTCTCAACTTCCTTCGCAGTTACTGCTGGCCAATGAGGTAGGTCCTCCAGTTGAATGCATGGTTTGTAATGTTGGGCTTCCTGGTCATAGAACAAAGATTGAAAATGGCGCAACCACTCCATTGGTTCCACTGTACAGATGGAATTAGTACGCTCCTGGTCCAATAGACCAGATATGGTTCGCCAAAAGCAAGTAGTATCTTTCTCGTGCGATGCCTTAACCAACCTGTGCCATGCGGCTCTTTCAGCTTCCAGTTTCTTTCTCCTTAATAATTGTTTGTACGACCGTCTCAGATAAATATAAGCATTAAGTAGGAGGGCAGTCCCTGATTTCCTGTATCTCCGGTAGGCTGTTCTCATTTGTCTCCTTGTTTGCCTGCACTCCAGGTCAAACCAGCTAGCTCCGTCCTTTGCCCTCTTTGTAGCGGAGCTATGTATCACTGTTGTTAAATGGGGTTTCAATCTTTCCAAGAGTAATTTAAAGCGTTCCATAATCGCAGCTACTGAATTTCCTGATACAATAGCGGAGCGAATAAGCTTTAACTCCACTGACTGAAGAAGGAGGGTTAGGTTTTCATTCAATATTGGGGACCATTTGAGTCTTTTGGGGGCAGGTATATCCAAATTTACAGAAGGTATATATTGTGGCTCGGCAATAGAATAGTCAAAAGGCCGACCTGCAAGCTCTAAAATTAGAGGTAGGTGATCACTCAGAGTATTATGGCCCACTTGGAACTTCCTTATAAAGCTGTGAGCAAATCTTGAGATTAAGATATAATCTATAACACTTCCCCCAGCCTTGGAGAAATGGGTATATTCCCCGGGGCGGTCCCCCTCTATATTGCCGTTTAATATCAGCAGTTCCCTCCGTCTAGCAGCCTGCACTAAGCAGAGACCTGGGAAATTACTTCTACTATCTTTGGACAGACGTGTCGCGCCAATATCCGTCTGTTCTTCAGGGTCCATAAATTGGTTGAAATGAGTGTATAGACTGTTGTCATCTGTTCCTATACGAGCGTTGAAGTCTCCACACACAATAGTCAGGGCAGACGGGTAAGTAGATTCGAGAGGCTCTAAAAACGCCTCTAGCTCAGCCCATGTAGCCTTAACAACGGGTTTTTTTTGGCCTGGGGGAATATAGACATTGACCAGCAAGAGAGTAGTTCTCTTGAAGCTAAGTAGAGCGGCTGTTGCTAAGGAATTGCAGCTGGGTAGGGCTGTTAGAGAATGCGCTAGCTCCGTGGAAATGAAGCAAGCTAGGCCACCACTAGATCTGCCACCCCTTAGAGATGGAGAGGCAGGCAGGTAGTGGCAGTTATACCCATTAAGAAATATAGGGTCATTCTGCCATGTCTCCTGAAAGAAGATGATGTCAAATTGCTTAAGGTAACACAAAAATTGTTGATTATTTTTCTTGGCGTGCCAACCCGCGATATTCCAAGACAGCACTTTTAGGCCCCGGGCCCTTCGGGGAGCTGGATCTATGTCACCACCATGTCCAGCAATTCTTTGGTGTCTAAAAAAACACACCCGTTGGTTCTTTTCGAGGCTGGCTGCTTGGAGAGAGTATAGTGATCCTCTTTTCTTGGTGATTTGGGGCTAGATTTTGGAGTTGGGGGGGAAGCTAATTCATTCGGAGACAATTTAAGATAGCTGTGCCAGGAGCTTTGAGGTTTCACACCTTGCTTTGGTCTTACTTTATTGTACATCACAGGGGGCTCTGATTGTAATTCCACGTCTACACATTTAAAGGTGCCTCCCACTGTCTTCTTATCCACCAGACATCTGGGAGATATGGGCTGCACATAAGGGTCCTTCATTGTCTCACCTTGATCATCCTTTTTTTCTAGTCTGCTTCGAAGTAAATCAAGTCTTTTCAGGATCTCAGTTTGAGCTGGAGAATGCAGTGACCAGAATCGCTTTATCAGCGAGAGTTCTTCCTCCCAAACGGAGTCCTCACTATCCCACGTGAGAGGCCCGACGCCAGTTGGATGTGAGGCTTCCTTTTTTTCATCTGGTGCTGTTTGGTGGGGATGATCCTGCTGGAGCTTATGCTTTCTATTTCGATGGTTTTGGTGGTTGGTTTTTTCCCTTTTGTGAACTTCCACTCCTATGCTCTTGGGCCCTATCAGAGAGGTTGCAGGTGCTCTATTTTCAAATATTCTTAATAGGACTATTCTTTCTTTTTTGAATAGGTTTTAAGCTCTAAAAATGAAACTGGCCAGATTATGATCTAAAAAAGTAATCAATGCTCGTACCGAGCAATCATCTTGATGTAGATACTCTATAGCGGCTATGTCAGTTGCTTTTACTACCCCCGGTAAAATGCCACTTATAATGGACAAAAGGTGGTCTATGCGGTCCAACCCTGCATAAAATCTAGGCGGTTTAGGGTAATTAGCAAAGACAAGCTTTTGTGGGATTAGGACTAAACTCCATTCTCTTTTGGGACACAACATCTGTCGAACTTGGGAGGAGTGGTTCCCCTCAATAGTTTGGGTCGCCTGCTCACCTCTGTCTACTGATTCTGTGCTGGCCATGAGAGGACTCTGGGGCGATATGACTGCAGATGGATTAGTTCCTTTGTCCCAGCTCGGTGTTGATTCTTCAGAGCTTGATTTAGATTCTTTTATGGGTGTATCTACTTTACGTGTCTCTTTGATGGCACTCGAGTTGGATTTGTTTGTTCCACTTGTGGAAAGGGATGGAAGAAGGTTAAAGAGCTTCTGCCAATATTTTTTACAGGTACGGTGAGTTGTCTTAAGCCGCCTTAGGTTTTTCATGTTTTTGCTTTTCTTCATCTTAGGCTCAGCTTTTTTCCTCCGGGGTTTGCTGGGGAGTGGTGGATCCGGGCTGGCTAGGGGATTTGTATTCTGGTCTGAAGCGCTCACATGTTGTTTGAAGTTATCCACTAGGGTCAGGAGCAGCCCGTTTGTTATCGCTAAAAATTTTTTAACGTTAAGGAGATCCTTAGAGATCTGGTATATCTGCTCCTGAAGATAATCACCCCACATTTCTATTCCACAGTCATTGGCTTTCAACCAATGGGTTGAAAGATTACCTCCAAGTTCCAGCGGTGACAAATGAGGATTGGCATCGGGTGTGTTGGCTGTGTTAGCCTTTGTAGCATTCTCTGCTATGGCAAGTTCTTGGGCCAGATTTGTTGGATGGTTTGTCCTCTTGTTGTTTGTTTGCAAGTCCTTTAGCTGTGTTGACCAATCCAACACTGTGAGTGGCAAAGGCATAGCTACATCTAGGATACTCTCATTCTGAGTTCTCTTGCTCGGGTCTTTTTGAGGAAAGTAGCTGGTAATTTTACTTTGTCTCCTTCGTCGTTCCATCGGCCTCTGTGGTGAATTAGGCAGAATTCCTTGGTCCTTGTATTTTTTCCTGGTGAGGACCATAGTGGGTATATGGGTATATATGGATGTATGGTAGGGGGTGCTTGCTTACCGGCGGCTTATCTTTTGTTCTAAGCTGGAGTAAACAGTAGCAGAGGTGCCGATTTGTGGAAGTTGCCTCCTGAACCTCTCCAACCTCTCCAACCTGTTTAGTTTCTCCAGCAATTTACATCGGGGCTTGTGAGGTATCAGTCATTTAAAATGTTAGAAAATATTACTGGTCTTAAGCTTCCATACTGTGCCTTGTTTCGTTTAAAATTCAACTAGGTCTTTCTCCCTCATTCAACAGCCTCACGACGTAACCAGTAAAGTAGCTAGGCAGTATAACGAAGCAGAAAAAAGAAAACAAAAGTCCCTTGTAATAATTATCGGGTTGAACTTGCCTTGTGTTTCTTGGGGTTATAGCAGCTTCAATTCCTTCCTTTTTTTTATAGATAAAAAGCTCGGCGTCCTTCCAAAGGAGTAGCTGGCCTCCCCGTCTGCTAATTACCAGCTTCGTGAAGATAGGCGGCTTGCTGAGCCTCCTTTGGATAAAAATAGGCCTTTGGCAGTTAATAAAAAAGAGTGATAATTTAAAACTGCTAAGCTCGGTTAAAAGAGAGGAAAAAAAGAAAAGAAAAAGCTTTAAAAGTGCTGATAAATACTAATAAATCTATATATCAACGCGGAGCACAAAATAGAGCTACCACTAACGACGCCATCTTGGATCCTCCCCTCGAGCAGCAGACAACTGAAGCCAAGGCTGAGGAATGGCAGTGACACCAGGTGGGCCAGAGGAGGGGCAGAGAAGGCATATTCATGTGAGAGCAGGGTAGAATTCACCCTTCAAATACAGGAAGGGATAAGGAACAAGCAGGCTTCTGAACACACACAGGGTGTCAGTCCCTCACCAAGTTACTATCCCACCTTTCCTCCAGGGAAATCAAGGCGGCATACATCCCTCTCCATTTTATCCTCACAACAACCCTGTGGGGTAGCTTAGCAAGTGACTGGACCAAGGTCACCCAGTGAGCTGCATGGAAATTCGAAAACAGGTCTCCCAGGCCTGACGACATAGTCAACTCCCTCTCGCACACCCACAGCATGTGGGGAACCGGCTTCCAGGAGGAAAGCCTGCCCCCCCCTTCTCCTCTCCCTGACCTTAGACTCGGCTCCCCCGCCCCTCGAGACAGAGGCTCAGGCCACGTCCCTCCGCCTGACCCCGCAAGCCCCATGGGCGCCGCAGGTGGGGCAAGCGAGGGGCGGCGGGTCTGCTCTGATGGACAGGTGCACCGGGCGGGAGGGAAGCAAAGCTCGGCCGGCCGCTTTAGGGTTGCTGGCGACCCTCACCTTTTTGGGGGCCGCCGATGAGGACCACGGCTTTCAGCATCGCCCTCTTCGTCTGGGGGGGGGCGCGGACAGGAAGGCAGGGCGTCCCGCGAAGGATCGCGGCGAGAGTCAGCCGTGCGCAGCGCCGATCCTGCGTCCCTTCCTCGCTGAGTTCTGCTTCCGAGCACGTGAGAATGCCACGTCACCGCTGGCCGGGTCCGCGCAGGGCGGGCCTTGAGCGATCCAGTCGGCGCGTCGCAGCGGGAGAAGCCGGCCGGCCGCGCTGACGCGGATCCTCCCGGATTGGCTGTTTTCGCTGTCCGGGAAGGCTAGGGCGTTTGGGGTGGGGAGGAAGTTGCAAGCCGTGGGGCGGTTTTGGTCCCTTCCTCGCTGCCCCAAGAAGAGCAGTCCTGCTTTCGGGCTTCTTCCCACAGGTTGAGAGCAGATGGGCCACTGGCCTGCTCCAACAGGACTCGTACGCTGCTTCACTTTGCGCCAGCCCATAGCTGTCAACTTTCAGATTTGAAAAGAAGGGATCAGCAGCCTCACCTGTCCCGGGGACAGTCTACAGGATATCTAACAAAGCGGGAAGCAGCGGGAAACGGCACTGGAATAAGGGAATTTCCCACAAAAAAAGGCTATGCGCCAGCCTGCCTCAAGCCTGTTTTTTGCAAAACAGGGCAGGAATTGCTACTTTGCCTGCCCAGGCTAAAAGGGATGGCACTTCGAGGGCGGAACCAAGAATCAGTTCTCAGATTGCAGGCTCGAACCGTGCGAAGTGATTCTAGAGAGAATGCAGATTACTGAGCATGTGTAGGCGGCTTCCTCTCTCCATTTGAGTAAGTGCAGTCAGCCCTCGCCATTAATGTAGTGCAAGGATTAGCCACCAATCGTCAGAGCCTGCAAAAACCCCTTTTCGGAAGAGAGCGGCTCCACTTGGGAGCTCTAAGGGCAGCCAACCCTATTGGATCTTGTGTAAATTCCTGCCTTGCTTGCAAAGTACAAGCACATTTTAAGCCAGGTCTGGAATACACAGTGGGTGTGGGGCAGGTGAGTGTGGCTTCTTACTTACTTGCAGGATGATTTGCACTTCTAATTAAAAGGGCTGCTGATTGAGGATCTTTTCTTAAAGCTTTCTGTGGTTTTACAAGCTGAACCTGTGCAGTTAGTTACAAGCAAGCACTACTGAATCCAATGACGCTTAGTCCTAGGAAACTGCATCGAATTGCATCCTAATCCTAATAACTTTTTGCATTATGTTCTATATTGGTGTTTGTTTGTGTTACAATAATCCATCAAGATCAACACATTTGCCTGCCATTTTTTGACTTTTCCTGGGATGTCTTGCTATCGGGGCTGTTGTGATGAGCTGCTGTACTTCACAGTTTACCACTACACTGGCTGGACTGTAATCCACTACAAGTTGCTCATTTGTAGAAAGCACTCTGCACATACCCAGAAGCACTCTTCATTACTATTCCCTAGTACATGCTTTAGTGTTGAGTCCTGCCAAGCATGGCGTCATTTGTGAGAGACAGACATACAGCGTTGTGTGCTGTTGTCATGTGAATAAGATGAGCAGCTGTGCAGCCCAAACAATCCCTGATATGGTCAGGAAGGACTATTTATATCTCCAGAACGGCTTGCTTGTGGGGCAGGGGAAAGGGGTCCTGCAGTGCCCTTTAGTGCCTGCAGGAGGCAGCGTTGCCAAGGGAATAAGGGCAAAGTCCTGGTTCCAGAACTTATTGAGAAGAACTACATTTCAGGAAACACAATGTGAGAGGAGAGAGACCAAACTGTTCAGTGCAGCCAGGTACCCAGAATGAAGACGCCTGAGCTAATGTTCTCTGCAGGGAAAGGTTGAAAAGATTGCTGGATGCCATCCAAGCACCGATACAAATATGGAACAGGAACACAAATAGTCTTTTGTACCTGAAGCTGGGTGATTACATGGTCCTGGGAGAGGAAGGACTTTGTGGGATAAGATTATTATTTCTTTTTTTTGCAGGACCCATTAGGGGACCAGCTTGACTCACGGGGCCTTCTAGTCTGCAGCAATCCTAGGAATCAGCTGCACTTCCATTTGTGCTATGCTTTCAAGGCATAGGCCTGTGATATCTAGGCCTATGTCAGAGCAGGGGTTTTTTGTCTGGCCGCTTTTCCTGAGAAAACCCTCTGTTTACCTACCACTGAACTGGAGCAAACTGCATGGATTGCTGTTTGTTAGGATTTAGCAGTAAACTGGGTTTACTTGGGGAAAGTGGTGGGACAAACTAAAACCCCATTCAGATCCAGACCTAGAAATTACAAGGATGAGCAAGGATCAGATAATGTGCCTGGATAACGTGGCACAGACGAAAGTTTGGATGAGCCCCTATTCTCTGAACCAACAGAACTCTGCTAATATCTGAGAAAGAAAGAAAGAAAAAAGCTAGAAACTCTTCCCACACCCCACCTTTGCAGCACACAAATGAGATTCCCAGGATTTTAATTTCCTGCTGATAAATTGCATGTAGCACACACAAGTCCTCTGTACAACCAGCTGGTTTTATTTAGTTCATATAGCAAGAAAACAGGTCAGGAAGAATCTGGAGGCTTCTGGGATGGTTCACAATCTCTGAAGTGCTGGGGGAAAGCGGGTGCTGCCGATGGGAGGACCGCACAGCCCCTCTGCGTCCTTGGAGTGGAGGCATTTCAGCGATGGCTGCACAAAATGGTTAGCCTGCAAGGAGATGGGACCCACCTGCCCAAGAAATGGATTCAGCCCTGGGGCACAGTGGGGAACTCTTGCCAGGAAAGGTATGGCAGAATGACATTGGCGAGAGCCAAAGGGGCAATGAGAGAAGGACTCCCTATTGCGTCTTAGGAGGGACAGGACAGGATATCCCTACAGTGCCATTGCAGGGCTTAATTTGCTTTCCCCAGCCTTCTCTCCAGGGCAATGGCCCTGGACCATACTTTGCAATGACAGAGAGTTTCTTTTTGTGGGGGGGAACTGTACAGGAGGCAGGGGGAGGCAGGAGCTCAGATCACATCAAGGCGTGCAAAAGACTGGTCCATGCCCAGGCTGTTCTCCACAAAGACCTCGTACTTCCCAGCATCCGCCGGCGACACCTTTTTGATGGTGAGAGTTGTTGAGTCACTGCCGATGTTATAGTATATGCTGCAGGGAAGGGAAAGGTGGAAATCTCAAGTCAGGGCCCTTAGAGACAGCTGGTGTTGGGACACAAAGCAGAAGCTGCTAAACTGACCCATGGACCGCTGGCAGTCCATCAGTTCCATTTGGGTGAGGCTGACAAACTGGGCTGCAGAACCAGCAAATATACAGCCTTGCACTTGATTTATTTTATTTTATTTTTGACAATGGAGGTCAAGGCTGTTTTAACTTGGGCTAGACTTATCAAAAAGAAGGGCCCATGATTTTTATATTATGGCACTGGAACAGTCTACTAATTCTGTCCCCCATAACAAAATACTAATTAAAAACACCTTTCTTGATGGCCTGACCTAAAGTCTGTTTTTAAAATGCAGTGCTGGCTTTGAGAATGGTACTGATGCTGCAGTGGGAAAAAAAGTTTGCTGAGGGGCTGCAAAACTGAAGAATTTCAGAATGACTGCAATTACAGATGCTGATCTTTCTCTCACTTCCTCCCCATTAACTACTAGGAAAGGAAGCCCTGATCTTGATGCTTTTAGCTCTGCCAGGTCAGTTCCATCCTGGTCCAATACAAATGAGAACACAGGAATCAACAGGACTTGTGTTAAATGAAGAAATCACACTTATCCTGACCATCACCGAAAACTCAACACACGTGTCCTTTGATTCCTACACATTAAGGTCCTCTATAATAACCAGAAGAACTACGTGCTTCCTTCTTCTTTCTTTCAAAAAGGAAAGCTTTTGTTATCGCGTTCCCCATGCAAGAATTCAAGCTATTGCATCAGCCCTGTTGATTTGAACATGAACTAGTAGTGCTTATGGAATCAGGAAAGAAAGGGGTGGGGGACCTGGTTCTTGGGCTCCCCCTTGCTGCCCACCTGCCCAAGCAGTGTTGGTGCTATGAAGCTTATTACACCAGTGGTGAATTTCACTCACCGATCGTCCTCTTCGATATCCTCGCCATCCTTGGCCCAGCCAACATCAGGTGCGGGCTCCCCACTGATGTGGGCTGTCAGGTTGACTGTGCTGCCTTTCTTGGCTTTTGTGCTGTCTGGGCCCTTCTGAATCTTGGCAGGCACTGCAGAGGGAGAGAGCAAGTGAGATCAGAGGAAGGGCCCTTCCTTAGCCATCTTTTGCCAAGGGGACTTGTAGCAGAATCCTCTGCTAGAGCATGAGGACCTAATGCTGGGGCTGCGAGTTTTGTTATGGTGCTGTGTCCTGTTCCAGGTGTTCTAGAATTTCTGTCTGATGGCCATGGAATATCTTCCAGTTATTTACTTGGCAAACCCTGTTGCACCATAGGTATACTTTGGCAAACGAGGTAAAGAAATAAATTCCTACAAAGGAGCTCTCCAGGTACCAGGTTCACTGTAGAACAGAAGTTGAGAGTCAGAACAATTTCTTGTTATGCAGGTTTTTGTATACTGTGCAGGGATACAGACTTTTCAGTTTCCCCAGCTGCTGTGTAGGGGTTTAGGGATTGGGGGGGGAGCAGTACACATTCGTTTGCAGGGATTAGATTCATTGAATAATCACACACAAAAAGCAACCCCTATTTCTGACTAACACATCTCCTTCCAACCCATGCCTAGAGGCAGTAGGTGTTGTGAAAGGAGACTGCCCTCTTGGGCCCCAGTCTCGGGGATTAGCCTCCTTTCCTGATGACTGACTAAACTATCCTGAGTTGCCATCAGAGGGTTCCCCCTGCCTTTCTTCTCTTCCTTCAGGTCTGGCATCATAGCTAGGTAGGGCCACGATGAGATCTAGAAGGGAGGAAGAAGGCTACGTCTTGGCCGAGGCATGGCTAAAGTTAGAAGGGGCTTGGCTTTCTCTACGCAAAACCCAAGGCTATGAATAGAAATGGGCAGGGAATGGGGGGGGGGCGATGTCTTGAAGGAGCAGAGCAGAGTGCTATTACCTTCCCCTCCTGAGATGTGCCAAATTGAGATCTCCCCATAATGAGGAACTTTGCAAGAATGGCTTGGCTTCCCAGGGGATGTGCGTGGCTAAGTTTAGAAGGGGTGTGTGGCTATGTAAGGAAGGGAGGCAGGCCGTATTACCTTCCACGAGGAGACGTGCCGAGTCGAAGCACTCTCCGAAGGGGTTCTTCACGGAGATGGTGTACTTGCCCAGGTCAGGAAGGCCAGCATCACGGACCACCAAGGCGACGATGTCTGGGTCCTCAAAGACATAGCGGTACTTGGGCCCGTCCTTGAGTTCCGCACCATCTTTGGACCAGCGGATGAAGGGGTCAGGGAAGGCACTGATGCGACACTCCAGCTTGGCTGCGCTCCCCTCGATCAGCATCACGTCTGTGAGGTTCTTCAGCACCCGCGGGGGGCCCTTCTCCTTCATTTCCTTGCGGGACCTGGTAGTGGAGAGGAGGGGGTTAAGCAGCAGGCCTTTAAAGCTCCTCTTGGAGCTCCTCTCCCCCATGAATGAGGTGGCAAAGTGCTCTGCCTCTAATGGTACCCAGGGCCAAACCAGACAGAGATCGGAAGAACAGCAGGAGATAACAGCAGCAGCTGCCAGCTGTGACACAACTGGGCAGCCTGGAAGGAGCAGCCAACCCCTGACCAGCCTGCCAACCACTCAGAACCACATGTTATCAAGCTGCAGCTAATTAATCAACAATATTATGATAGTAAATGCTCTGTGGCTAAATGGGTAGAATCTGATTGACTGGGGAAATGGGACATTCCAGCAGAATTCTTCTTACTCAATCCCTCTTCTCCTCAGCTCCACAGAATTGATAAAAACAAGTAAAATCAATGAAGAAAACATAGTCATTGGCTTATCTTTTGATGTTGGAATTACCTCCTTAAACTGAATAGCTGCTGCACCCTTTTTTGTGCCAATAGTTCCAAGGCAAATGAGAGTGGTGAGCAAGAGTGGTGGGAGTTTTGGGTGCTTCCAAGGCTGTCGCTATTTTGCACACAAGAGTTAACTGCGTGCCAGAAAATTCAGATTGTGCAATTGATGTGGATTTAGCTCTCTGGTGCAACAAACCCACTTCCAATAAAATAAAACCAGGTTATTATTATTATTGTTAGGGAAGTGACAAGAAAATGTACTAGAAAGCATGGGATAACAATTCCTTGACATGGCATCATGTAACCTCCCTGCAAACAAATCAAAATGAATGCTAAATAAACAGCCAATGCCATATAAGCTGCTCACAAACTTTGTGCAACCAAATCCGAATGAATCCTCAATGACGAGGTTGCTAGTAGTTCAGAAACTGGATTGAATGGAGGAGCTGAGGTGTGAACCTGATTTTCTTGCACAAAGATCACCTGGTGGTTAGACTATGGCTGTGTATTCATTACCATTTACTCTGGCTCCAGTGCGCTCCAGTGCACCACTGGTGTTTGAAGCCCTCAGCACATGATGTTAGCCACAATTCATGTCTATCCTGTAGTTTCTGGAGAAATTCTGCTGTTGGATGCATTTTCCCTCAAACCATTTTCCATCCAATTTGCAAGCACAAGCCAAGGTTAAGATGAGGTACCAACATGCGAGACACCCATGGCATGCACAGATGACTGTTTCATTGAATCGGAGTTTGGTGGGTGTGTTGCAGACGCAGGAAAACCAAAGAGGTAATGCACATCAGGTGAAGGCATCCCTGCATACTCTCTGGTGTGTACAGCAATGTGCAGAAGTGGCTTGAAACGCAGCAAGGGGAAATGACTTCACTGCATTTGAAGGTGCTAATGCTTATGCCTGATCTTTATTGGGGTGATTTGTTTGTGGCAGTAGCTATATGGCAATGGGCATTCATCCTGATTTACTTCGGAGGGGTGTGTGCGTCTTTCTGTTAACAATACATTAAGCCCACACTTTGCAGTGTACTTCCTAACCAAAAAAGACAGTTATTTTAAAAAGTGGATATGTTGTGCTACAGCAACATAGCACTGTCATTGTGCAAACTTCTGTATGTGCCTCAATCCTTCCTGCAAGATGCTGACTGTCTTGTGGCCACCTGAGTCAGGGCTCATCCAGACTTCCCTTTGTGCTATGTCTCTAGTCACGTGTACGTGCTTTAAACCTCCTTGTCTGAGCCCCCCCCCTTTTTTTTGCTGTGGTTTTTCCTCTGTGAAAACCTGCTATTTAGCACTAAATTGGAGCACACCAATCCACGGAAACTCCAAAGTGCTGGTTGTTCCAATTCAGCATTAAAGAGCAAGTTTTCCTGGGGAAAGTGGGGGGGGGGCAAAACCCCCACAACCACTCTCACATATGGAGTTTAAAATTGGGCATGTGCCTAGAAACAGAGGGCAAAGGTAGTGAGAGACCCTAATGTGCTGCAGGAGTGAATTTAAGTATTTAGTAATGGAGAGCAAAGGAGAAATATCCTGAAGCAAGGCACCGTCTACCTTCTTTCCATCTCAAGTTCCCTCCCATGAAAGTTTGGAATTTTTGCACCAAACTTCCAATTCCAGACAACGTTGGGCTTAAAAGAATGCAGAGCCAAACCGCAGTTCTCAATTGCTGGAGTTTGTTCCCCCCTATTGCTACACGCCTAAGCAGTCCTCTGTTCTGTCTCAGATCACCTGTGCGTCCAAAGTCTCTTGCTTCCTCACCTCCTTTGGTTTTGCCTCCACTCATCCATTCATGACTGCGTCTCTGCACCCTCTCCCTGCACAACTTTATTCAGAACACACATCAAATCTGGTTGCCCTTGGTTATGAGACACTTAAATTGTTAACCCAGTCCTCAATATTAGAGTCACAGATTTCTGGGTTGTCAGAAGCAGAGAGAGACAGATAAATATTCAAAGGTCAAGGTAAAGAGGTGTATTTTCAGAATGCGATGGGAACTATAGAATTATGCTGGGCACACCTCTGCGGAGAGGGAACTCCAAAATTTAGGGATGCCCCACATAGAAAATGTCCTCTTCCAGGCCACCACCCCTTGAACTTCTGAGGACAGGGGAACAACCAAGGGAGTTCCCTCTGATGATTTTACCACCAAGCAAGGTCAGGGCTCTTTTACCCTTCCACTTGTGCTGGGCCAAGTTTTCCGCTTGCCTTGCTCCTTTTTGAGGGAAAAGCTGCTCTTAAGTGATATATTAAGTGCTCTTAAGTGATATAACCCAGCAGATGGGGTGGAGATGTTATGGGTCTGAGCCCCTCTGCACAGCCATACCACATACTACTGGAGACATAATCAGTCTTGAAGTTCAGTTCTACAAGCTACTACTACTAATAATAATAATAATACTTGGATTTTTTACCCACCCTTTACCATAGGGTGCGTTGCAACAATATGAACATGCAAGATGAAAACCAGTTAAAACGATTTACCACCTGAAGAGCAGGGTGGACCCATTCTTGGGTGTCAAAAGCAGGGACAAAAGAGGTGCATTTTCAGCCCAGCCCTGATAACAGTCCTGTCCTCCCACCTGCTATCCCCCTCACCTGTGCCCACGATAGGAAGCCTGGATGCGGATGGCAGCATTCTGCACCTGAGGGTCATTTATGTCCAGGGAAAATCCTGCAGGGGGAGGGGCTGCAGCACCTGCTGCTGGTTTCTTGGGTGCAGCTTTTGACATCTGTGGGGAGATGAAGGAGTAGCAGGTTCAGTATTGGGGGCGGGGGAGAGAGGGAGAGAAACAGGCTCCTACATAGCACAGAGTCCAACCCTCTTCCTTCCTGCTTCCACCCAACGCCAGTACCACTCTAACATGAGACACATCAACCATCTCAAGAGGACCTATGCTGTCTTGCTCCATGTATACAACAGCAAAGACACCTCAGTGAGTGTCATCTTCACTCTTCCGGGGCAAATCAGTCCAGACCCACTGAAGTGGGATGAGAGTAAAGTTGTGCTTTCGCCCACACCCTCATTATTATATCTCCAGTTTTAGACACACCCTGGTGAGGGTCACAGCATAGAGTTGGAAGAGACCATGACAGTCATCTTGTCCAACCCCTGCAATGAAGGGATCTTTTGCCCAATGTGGGGCTCAAACCCATGACCCTGAGATTAAGAGTCTCGTGCTCTACCAACTGAGCCATGGAAGAGGTTGTCCAGTTGGTGAGCAGCTGAGCCGTTCTGTTTTGATCCATGTCTTTCATGGAAGGCTGAGGCACCTCAGACAAGGCGAGTTAAGAGGCAGCTCTCCCAATCCCCAAGCCATGTCCCGAGGTAGGGTGTTGTTGGAGCATGTGGAAGGGCTGGGACAGGGCAAGAGTTCTCAGGGGCCCCCTTCTCTGCTGATGAGCTTGAGCTCTCTTACCGTAGACAGCACCAATGCAGCTCCGCTGTGTTGGAAAAGGCCACAGGCCCCTCATCCCACCCAAATTTATATCTCTGCAGGGGAGAAGCCAGGTCTGCCCATGCCCACAGCTGCATTCCTGCCCTGACGTCTCCTTCTTTGGCCGGGGGGGTGCGTCCCCCCTGCCCAGACGGGAATCCTGGGCGCTCCCTTATATAGCCTGTTGCCAGCTACCTGTGAGAATTGGGGCTGCACTGATTGCAGCCCGGTGCTGTGTAATCACATTGACCAGCCCAGAGGGACCCAGATGGAGCAGCTGCAACCATTCCTGCCCTCTGGCTGAGAGACAGAGTGGCAGGGTGAGGCTCCACTGTCTGGGCTGTTCCCAACGCACACGCTGCCTTAGGAGGACTGGAAGGGATGAGAACAGTTTGGAGTAGCAAGCAACAGGATCAGAGGATATCCCAAGAGTGGGGAAGAGCTGGAGTTTTGCTTGGAGGAGCGGATATTGTATTGTCAGTACAAGCTGCTCAAGTGGATCATCCACAGTCGTCACAATGAACCCCTTTGGTATACTCAAAACACCCTCATCCAGGGAGGAACAAATCTATCCATTTTAATTTCCCTCAGTTCCTCATTTCCACCATCTTAAATTCAGTTTGCCACATTTTCTGTATGAGTGCGTGAATTTGCTCTCGCACCAAATCCAACGGCATTTTAACATTTGATTCATTTCCAATTTTGGCTAACATACAATTTTTCGCTATTGTGTTTTTATATGTCATTTTTCACTAATATGTGCATTTTTCTTTACACTATCCCTGAGTATATGCATATATTTTCTCCTAACTCATAGCATTTTTGTACATCACTTTTGGGTGGAGAACCTCACCACAAAGTTCAGGGAAAGATGGCTGTGTTTTGTTTTGCATGTTGTTACAGGAAATGCAAATTAAATAGGTTTGTCTTAAAATGTAAACAGAAGCAAAATTCTCCCCCATCCCTATGACACCAGCCAGTAGTTCACCTGATGCTGCACACATCTCCAAATCATATAATAAGGAGTGAAATTAAGCAGACTACATATGGATTCACACAGAAAAATAGGAGCGCCCACCAAAAGCAGTTATGTCCGTTGTTGGTGAACACACTCCCCAATATCTCCTGTGGAATTCTCCAGCAAAACGTTTTACCTCAGGCATGACTATCACTTTTTGATGAAATGGACTATAGTTCATGAACACTTATGCCAAAATAAAGCTCTTAATCCTTAAAATGCCCCTGGATTCGGTTGCTTTTTGCTGAGACGGATGTACCTATTTATGTATACTTCTGACACGCAGTTGTCCTACATAGTATGGAAGAAATTTAGCACTTTTTTAAACGGAAGAAAAGGGGGCCTGTGAAAAGAGAATAACGGGGAGAAGTCACCTGTTTGATTTCTGCATTTCCAGTGGTAGTTACTGGCATAGGATCAAGGCCAAGGACAACTTGGAAGTCCTGGTTGTGCTGAAGCAGTTATGTGACTGTACAGTACAGCAGGAGATGCCAGTGTGGTGCTTGCCAATGCACAGGTGCCCACAAAGGCCTTCTGTGGCACTGCAGGATCCTCCTCCCCACTGAAATTAGGTTAGGAAGAAGCTTTCCATTGTCATGGTTGTGGCGTGTGTGCGTGTGGTGCCCAAGACACTTCCTTTTCTTCTTTTATCTAAATATTTTTTTATTAAGTTTTACATAGTACATTTCAATTTAAACATATCATTCACCTTCTCCAGCTTGCAAATGTGTCCACAGGCCCCAGAATGCCGGCCAACTCTACTGTACAGAAATCTTTATGGATTTATTCAATCCACATTCCAAATAGGCCCATTTGACCATGAGGTCCTGAAGCAGTTTAACTGCACTGACATGCTCAGGAGTAGACAGAATGCTGATTAGCCTTGTTATCCATCTTCGTTTCATTTCTGAATGGAAAGGTAGGATATGCTATTAATTTAAATTAAAAGGTGGCACTGGTTATTATTTTTTCAACCCATAAAATAATAACGTCCCCAGAAATTGCTGCCCACTTGTTTCGCAGCAGGGACAATGATGTCACCTCTTGGGGCTCTAATCCATACCCAGGCTCTATTTGCCAATCCTCTGCGTGCCAAATAAATAAGCATTTCCCATTCCGAGAGAAACCCACCAAATGAGCTGAGCAGAGAAAAAGGTGGGTCACACTGATTAGCATGCATGGCTGAGGGTTAAAAGGCCATTTCGATTTTTTTGGGGGGGGATATCTTCCCTTTATTATACTATCAAAAGGACACAAAATAGTGAGCTAGCTTTTGAGTCCACCGGAAGAACTCATCTTCAAGGTAGACGTTGAACAAAAGCAGTTTTTTTGGGGGGGGGGAATAGGAGGGGAAAAGGCTGACTTGGTATTGCAACCATAATCAGTTGGTAGAGCATGAGACTCTTAATCTCAGGGTCGTGTGTTTGAGCCCCATGTTGGGCAAAAGATTCCTGCATTGCAGGGGGTTGAACTAGATGACCCTCATGGTCCCTTCCAACTCTATGGTTCTATGTCTGCTTTGGCCAGTTATTCATTTTTGTTGTATAATCTTGAAGAGATGTGGCTACGCTGGTTATCATGAAGAGCTCCTGCAGTTCAGAATTTATCACTACACCACGGAAAGTCCCAATGGTATTAAAATGTTAGTTTATTAAAATTTTAGTTTATTAAAATACTAGTTTGACGTGCAAGACAGGAAATCTGTTCTCCTTGTTGTAGATATTGATCCTCCCTGTAGCTTCTTTTTAAAATGTTTAATTTCCTTGTTAACATGGGTTATATTATGTCCTGATTAGATCTGATCTTTAATTAAATATTTTTAAAAAAAAACCACACAAAACCCTGTTTATTTCAAGATTCTTATAAAGGGTTCCATCATCATAGCATGTTTTCCACATTGCCCTTTTCTGAACACTGCTGCCTTGCTTTGGAGTTTAGGATTTATTTAACTTCTGCTACGCGGGTGGCGCTGTGGGTAAAAGCCTCAGTGCCTAGGGCTTGCTGATCGAAAGGTCGGCGGTTCGAATCCCTGCGGCAGGGTGCGCTCCCGTTGCTCAGTCCCAGTGTCTGCCAACTTAGCACTTCGAAAGCACCCCCGGGTGCAATTAGATAAATAGGGACCGCTTACTAGCGGGAAGGTAAACGGTGTTTCCGTGTGCGGCTCTGGCTCGCCAGAGCAGCGATGTCACGCTGGCCACGTGACCCGGAAGTGTCTCCGGACAGCGCTGGCCCCCGGCCTCTTGAGTGAGATGGGCGCACAACCCTAGAGTCTGTCAAGACTGGCCCGTACGGGCAGAGGTACCTTTACCTTTACAGAGCTGCAGCAATAGCAGATCTCCTCTGTTGCCTGGTTTCAAGCCTGGGGAAGCTTCTTCCATACCACTTCTGTGCAGCTACTTCTGTTTATTTCAATTGTACAATTGGCTGCCAAAGGTGGATGTGCTTTGAACCACAGCCCAGTTGTCCCTACAGCCCAGTTGTCCTGATAGGGAAAGTAGGTTGAATGTGGATTATCCAGAGCAGGAGCACAGTTGTATAAACCCAAATATTCTGCTCAGTTATTATTACTATTATTGTTGATGATGATGCCACATTTCTTATTTACTTAGCACCATCGATAAGTGGGGTACAGAGTCCAGGTTAGGGCCCCAACTGTCTATGTTCTGTGCATAACTCAAGCACTGCTAGGAATTGTTTCTTTTTGTTTTCCAATGTATTTCTTATCAGTAAAATGATAAAATGGAGGATGAGTAACCAGGGAAAGACCATTTATTGTAAAGAGGCATGGTCAGAGTTCACGGACACAAGAAAGATGAGATGAGTGGCCTAAGGGGAGTGGCCTGAGGAGGGGCAGATAGGGAGACCTGAAGGATTGCATTCAACCCCCAGACATGAGGTTCTCCACAGCTGGCCAATGCCATAAAGAAAGTGATAGTCTTTAAGGTGCCACAAGACTGCAACAGACTCGCATGGCACGTCTTTGGACTGCCGATTGGCTACAATTTCTGATTGATTATGCATTTTCCTTCACGTTTTACCTGATACAAGAATTTGGATTATGCTTTAGCACTTGTATTCTAGTCTCACAGCTTCTGCATAGCTTCTTTGGTATTCGCTAGTATGATGTCTGGTTTAAAAGAGAAACCTGAAGGACGTACAGTAGTAGCTTGAGTGTCCCTGGGGAGTTAGTGAGGTGTCAAGTGCACTACAGTTTCCAGAATGGCATCCATCCCGGAATGTGAGAGAATGTTCTAACAGCAGCAACCTGGGCTTGGGAGAAGTATCTCCAATTTCTTATCCCAGTAGTTTGGGGTTTCTCTCTCTCTCTCTCTCTCTCTCTCTCTCTCTCTCTCACACACACACACACACACACACACACACGTTGTTGAGAGGAAACGAACAAGCAGTTCTGACCTCAGTACTGCAACATAAATTACAACAGAACCCAGGAAACTGCCTTATACAGAGTCAGACCACTGGTCAGTCTATGTAACTCAGGATTCAATGTGTTGACCAGCAGTGGTTGTGGCTCTCCAGGGTTTGAGGCAGGAGTCTTTTCCAGACCTACACCTCCCTGCTTCCCTAGCAGTAAAAAATAAATAAATGCAATAATGAATTAAAGAACTTACAAATGTGCTGCCCTTTCAGCAAACTCTGAATCAGCTGCCTGAGAGGAAGTTTCGCTCGGCCTACTAGTACAGCCATCCCTGACTCTAGCACCGGTGAGTCAGTCAGTGAAAACTGAAGGCGTCGATCCCCCCCCCTTTGCCAGGGAGGGGACTTTATCTATCTTTTAGGGCAGTGCCTATTCAGTCAGGAATCTTTCTATCCCCATCTGAGGTTTATGCTGAATTTCTAGCGGCAGTTTCAGGAAGAGTAGAAGCTGCAGACAGATGTGTCAGGGATAGGTGGGGAAAATGGCGCCCCTCATATTGTTGTTGTTGGATGTGGGAGCTGGAGGCCAATTGGTCAGGAGTGATGGGAGTTGTAGTCCAGCAATATCTGGGAGGTAGGGAGAGAGAGAGAGCCTTCTCCTTTTCTTTACAGAAAGGAGTGGAGCTAATTAACTGGGTGAGGTTTGAGGTTTTTTTATATATTTACACACACGCGCACACACACACTCCTTTCTCGAAAGAAAGGAGAAGGGGCTCTTTATCTACTCCCACTCCCTTGTGAACAGCTAAGAAGGAAGGCTTTGGGAAAAACCCTTACAAAGCTGAGCGCTGCTGAAGTGCTTCAGGAGAGAATTGTTAATGCTCTCTTGCTGCCCATGCTGGGGAGGAGGGCGTTAAGGTTAAGCAGCGCTTTGCTGATGCTTCATCTCGGATGACTGATATCCCTTCACTCCTTGTTTATTTTAAAATATGGCTTCTGGTAAGTACTACATCAGATGCAAAGTGTGTGTTTTGTGTGGCAGGCTTGAAGCTTGTCTGCTCAGCGCCAGACATTAAAATATAAATTGTAACGTGGAACAAGGCATGTCTTAGGATGTGTACACACTCCCACAACCTTAGTGGCAGCAAGGTTGCCTCTCACTTTGAGTGAAAGATGTGACTGGCAGTGAGACTAGGTTGCCCAGGGGGTTGTGGGATGGATGTCTTTTCGGAAGGTGCCTCTCATATTTAGGTTGAGGTCACCTCCTCGGATTGCTTCCCCTTCGGAGGAGGAGAGGAATTTGTTTAGTGTTTTCTGTTTGAACTCCAGTTTTGTGTTTGGGGCATTTATGGAGCCAATTGTCAGTTTAGTTTTGCCATCTAGTACCCCTTTAGCAAAAATGAATCTGCCTTTTTTATCTTTTAGCACTGTTGTGACTTGGAAATTTAGGTCTCTACTAAGTATTATGGCTATTCTGCGGGCCTTTCCTGAGCGAGGTGCCACCCATGACTGAAGTGGGATTTGCTCAGGAGTTTGCTTCCTTTGGGTGGGGGTTGTGTATTTCCTGTAGGAAGGTATTGTGTGGTTTCATGGTGTTTACATACGAGGTGATGCATTTTCTTTTAACAGGGTTTCCCAATCCCCTCACATTTAGTGTAATTGCTTTTAAGCTAGCCATTTGGTATGTTTATTTTTTAGGATGATTCCCTGCCAACCCGTCTGGGTTGTCCTGTGTCTCTCACCTTATATTCTCTATCGAACCTAGTGTGTTGTGGTGACATATAGTGTGGTGGGTGGGGTTAGAGTTAGGGGTGGGCTGAAGACTGGGGGGTAGGTTATAGAAAGTAGCCTACATGCAGTTATATAGGTGTTTGGGGTTGCTTGGACCATTTGGCTCCCAGCCAGTTGGTCCAGCGTCTCAGCTGGCATGGAGGTCCTTCTTTGAAAACAGGCCGTCTTCCCTTTCGCTTGCAATAGGGGTGGGTCAGTGAGACGGTGTCAAGTGCCTTTGTGGTGCTTGTGTTGGGCATAAGGGTTTTAAAAGAATGTTGTCAGTATTGTTAACAACATTATTGGTTTGTTGGGGTATTAGGATAGGGATGTGAATATTGGCATGCCCTTTAAAAAGTGCTACAGTGCTATAACACTAATTTTAAAAATAAAAGGGGAAAAATATTTCTAGTCACCATCATTTTAGCAATGTGCTTTCCCCCCTAATTATACACTTCCAATCTTCACTTCTGGTCCAAAACAAACATGAAACACTTTCATAGCAATCATGGGCGATCACACTTTAATGAAGAAGTGCTTAGCGCTAAATAAATAACTGATTTTTATTTTATTTTTTTAAGAATCACTCAGGTTTCTTCTTCAAATGGCCACTTAGGTGAATTAGATCTTTCCTCCCCCTCCCCCACCCAGGAGCTCTGTCACACCCACTGGTGTGGATGGAACAGAGCAGGATGAACATACAGAAAAGTGCAATATCCCTGATAGTGTGCAAAGTTCAACTGCAATTCCTCTTGTACCTTACAGTGGAAGAGCAATGATTTATTAGCGCTAGGAAGCCACCCATCTGGAAGCAGTCCTGGTTTGCTTTGCTTGCTCCATGCCACAGGGAAATGAGCATCTTCACAATCAAAACACACTGGGGCATGGGATAAAAAGACTGAGATGGGGAACCATGGTCATGGATTCACACAGCCAAGGTGGGGGTGGTTAGGTAGGTCTGCTTCATTTGGTAGGTCTGCTTTCAACTCTGCGCCAATGGTACATTCTCTTCATTCCCTACCCATACAAAATCCAGGTTTGCCCTAAGGCGCAGCTGTGAAAACTTGTAGACTCTCAGTTTCAAAATGGCCTCTACCCTTCTCAGTGGGGTATGTCAGGTCTGGCTTGCTATGGACACTACACAGGTCAAGAGCAGAGAAACAAATGGCCACTACCCCCACCCCAAGACTTAGAACCCACCCTGTTGTCCTCTTCAACCCACCCACCACAGAGGCCATGTAAGGTCACATGTGTGCCTGACTGCAAAAGGAGAAGGTGCCTATGTTTGGAGGACCTCTGCCTGTCTCTGTGCCATCGTGAGTGTTCTGTAGGTGCCAGAAGGGGCTATGGCAAAAGAGCACTGAAAGAGAGGAGGGTTCATGTAGGGAAATGTATGAGGGGGCGGTGTATCTGAAGCATGTCCTTGATTCAGAAAGGCATGCAGGGAGAGAAGGCATCTATCTTCTGCACTGGTTCTGAAGCTTAAGGTAGGACTGGGTTGCGTGTATCCGTGTCAGAAAAACACAAGGAAGGCAGCAGCAAAAAATAGGTATTGTGGGGTGGTAGGTATGTAAACAGGGAAAAACTGGTGGGTGCCTCACATGATTGGCTTCTTCTGGATACCCAAGCAGAGGTGAGTGGAGAGGAACCCCAGGGAAAGTACCATCAGCACCTCTACTCCCAGCCCCTGCCTTGGGGACCAGAAACCTCCATTATACTCCCTATGCTGCATATGTTGGCTATACAGGTGGGGGGTTGGAGTTTTCCATTGCTGAAATGCCTTCTCTGCAATACTTCCGGGTTGATCCTTCATTGTCATCTTCCCAGCTCAGCTTGGCATGTAAGGAAGAGATGCCCCATTGCTCAGTGGCTGCAGCTGGCATGTTTTGCATCTGCTGTTAAGTCAATGGGAGCGCTTGGTTGCGCCTGACCTACGCAGGGTACAGACGCAGCCCTTGAGGCACAATACAGGAAGGGCCCTTTACATCCCCACGGGGAGGAGGAGTTTATTTAGACAAGGAAACGTCAAGGCTTTCTCCTCCCCCCTTGACCTTGGCCTGGGAACAGCATGGCTTCATGGCCCACTGCGCTTCATACCTCCCTGAACCCAACCCCATGGCAGCGAATCTTGTCAATCTGCCATTTTCGGCCCCCAGGCTCCCTCTCTCTGGGCCAGGACTGGTAGGTAGAGCGAAGAACAGCGGCCAGTGCTGACGACTCTTCTTGATCCATGAGGTATATCGACAAGTCCCACCCTGGCTGGCTGGGTGGGTGCTTGGCCCATCACGCCCCCTGCTGGAATGTTCTGTGGCTCCTCCGGCAGGGCAGGCGGCTAGGACATGTGGCTGCTGGCGCCATGGTAGGAGCGCAGTAAGACCTTGTGCTTGGTGGCCACCTCGTTGCGCTGCCGCTGGTGCTCCACCAAGAACTCTTTCAGGCGGCTGGTGGTGAAGGTGAGGGTCTGCCGACGCAGCTTCATCAGGTAGGCGTCCTGGAGCCAAGGGTTAGCAAAGCAGTCCTTGAGAGCTGGGCGGCTCCTGCAAGGCCAAAGGATATTAGGATGAGGCTGCCTTTTCCCTCCCCAGCCCTCCCCGGACCCAGAAGAACAAGGAGGAAGTAGGAGCATGACTGGAGGAATGAGCTGTGGATAACATATAGGAAGCTGCCTTATCCTGAGCTGGGCCATTGCTTCATCTAGCTCAGGAGCAGCAGCCCTTCCCAGCCCTACCTTGACACTCAGGTGACTGAACCTGGGAGTTTTTGCGGGCTAACCAGCCTCATATAGGCAATGTGCTTAAGTCTAATTAATGCCTTAAGGGGTTAAGATCATAGAGTAAGCTGTCCTGCCAGGCTTAGTTCACCTTGAGAGGAACTGGGCATTCAAGCCTTTGTTCTCCTTCAGTCCACCTGAGAAGAGGCTAACCTGGTTGCTCCAGCTTAGCTGAATGGCTCTCACAAGCCACTCTTGACTTCTACCTATACCAATAATTTAGGAACCATCACCACTATAACGAAGCCAAGTTTTACTGCCTGTGCAGTTTTCTGAAGCACATGATTCTGACCGTTGAAGGGTTTATATGTAAACCATTTTTAACATACCAAATGTGGTCTTTTTCTATGTTAGGGGAAGAGGGAAACTTTGGAACTCACTTTAAAGGATGCACATTTTAAAGGTCTAACAGCCTATCTTGGCACGCCTTAATTTGCTGCGTGTTTTGTGATTTTAAATCTCTGCTGGGGTTCAAACCTAGATCTTGACAACCAGGAATTCTCCCTTTTGTACCTATATTTTCTTAAGCCAATGGTTTTTGCATGCAGAATATAAGCATGAGCTCCATCACTGGGCAACAGTCCTTCCCCAAACATGGCCACAAAAGACTTTGTAGCAGAAAAGTTGGGGACTGAGGACATAGCTCAGGACTCTCATCTCCTAGAACAGCCCATTCTCACTCACCAGGAGTCCTGCATACCTGGGAGTACGCCATGTTGAGCACAGTGGAATTTACTTCCAGGCACACATGCCTAGGGTTGCATGGTCAGTTTGCTTTAGAGACTGAGTGCAGTCCTACCTAGCTTCCTCTGGTTTGGAATTACAGGTCCTAGTTTTGTTAGTCCAGATGGACTGCAACTCCCACCATCCCTGACCACTGGCCACTTAGGCTAGGGCTGATGGGAGTTGAAGGACATTTATAGGGCCAGATGTTCCCCATCCCTGGTACAAATGCTTTAAACATGAAGGGTGATGGTGATCTCAGGGATGCTGGCCTCAGACTGCATTCTGCTACTCCTGAAAAGATCTACTCTGGAATTTCTTAACCTCAGCAGCTCATTTAGCTCTCAGGACTTTATTACTGAACTCCAGACTAATCCAAGACTAAGCA